CAGAAGAGAAACGTCTTATTTTCCTCTTTTATGTCACAAAAGGAGCATCGCTTTCTTTAGTCCATTTTATTAGGTATTTAGTAAAGTATACAATTTCATTATCGCGAATATGAAGCATGCTGGTTAGTCTACCATCCCAGAGTGTACCGGAGGAGGACAGAGGCATCCCTAGTTGCTCCTTATCTGGGGATAACGTTTTAAGGTTGCCTTTCCAACGCCAGGTCATCAGCCAAGCAGTTTTCCGCGATGTCACTGTGACAGAGAAACTAGAAGAAGTACCTAAGAAGTACTTTGGCGCGGTGGATAAAGAAGTCAGATATTCCTTTAACACACCCTTTAGGAGTGAGTCTACCGCTTCCTTGATGGCAGCTATTTCCACCTGAAAGACACTGCAGAAGTCTGGAAGCTTTAGTAACCCCGCCCTACCCAGTCCTCTCTTGAGGGAATACAGGTAGAGAAGAGATTTCTGGGAAGCATTTCCGAGATGCTGTAATCTATGTGTTCAGGGCGAAGCCAAAGCCCCCCGGAACTCAAGAGTATTACCACACGGTTTCCTTTAGCCTAATAGCGTGCTGCTACAATTCTGTCTGCAATATCCTCAGGCGCCGTGTTTAACATGATGTTGACCGCCAATACAGGTGTGGTCACTAATGCTCCACTAATTCCTAATTAACAAGTGTAGCTTTCTCTACCGGGTTCCACCAGACAAGGGCTACTGCTGCATGTGTGTTTTTAGATTGTGTACTTCCAAAGTCCAATAAACCACAAGGTGAACCTAGCTATAATAGACCCCTATGTATGATGATTCCTTAGGTAAGGTACTCGAACGCATCGTTTGCAATCGCTTGTGGGAGCATATCGATACCAAATAATATCTGTCAGACACTCAATTCGGGTTTCGAAAGGGTAGGTCAACAGTCAATGCTATACGCAGCGTTACCGACATCAGTGAAGAAGCTATTAAGGGTAAACGTTGTAAAAATGGGTTGTTTACGTTTTGCTTTCAACATTTCTTCTTCTTCTTCTTCCATTCTTGCTCGCGTTTTGGCATTTTTCTCGCAATCTTGTATTCTATCATTCTTGTTATAAGTATAATTGATACAATATTGCATATTTTTGATGTCTCTCACAGATTTCACGTTACCGATCGACACTTAACACAAGTACGAACGCTTGTGTTTTGTCTAGCGATCAATTGTTTTTCACTTCACTTTCAATGAACCTGCAATTATTGCTTTCTGACCTTTTGGCAAGCATGGTGCAGCAAATGCTCCGAGACGTCATAATAAAGATTTAAGATTTAAGCATTTAGAAATCTCAGAATGGGAGAAGTAGTATTGTTAAGATGATTGTATCATTTTATGTTTTGGGAGAAAACCAGAAGTTAGAGAATACCATATACGACGGTTGATTAACAAACGCTTGCCTAAGAGGGCCCGTACTAGTGGCAGGGCAAAAAGCTCATCGGGAAAATTACCGTATATACCAGAGGTTCCCAAGCTTTTTTTCTCTTAGACCCCTTTCAAAAATTTACTGGCTTTGGTGGACCCCCTGCTGGTACATTTATAAATATTCCCAAAGCCCGTAAAAAGATGTAATGTGTGTAAATTCGGAATGGCCAAAATAAAACTAAAATAAATTCTTTCTATTACTTTTTATTTATATTTATTGAAATAATGTGATCATACACTTGCAGGTTTTAAAAAATAAAGCTTCTAAATCCATCCAAATACTTTCCCGCTCTGAGGAGTTATATTTTTTAAGAGCACTACGAGCCCTAGCGTTATTTAAATTATCTTCATCATAAACTCATCAAATGTTCGGCTCACTCATGACTTTGTACGTGGAGTATTTGTAAAATAGTTTATTGATGTGTATACATCTTTGGTTTCGGTAGGGGTAAAATTTGCGAAGCTGTAACGCATATCCTAGCACAAAATTTCGAAGGGCTTTGCATGTGTATTTCAGCATAAAATTTTTATTTTCATTAGAAGCACCCT